CAGACTTAAGATCCCTAGTCAAAAGGTGAAGCGAATCTCTGAATCTCTGATCCGTTTCCTTTGTTTTATTTCAGGTTGCAGTTGAACTTGAGTATGCTAAAAGTATGTTTGATTTGCACAAGAAATCACACCCCAATGATGAAATAGTAGGCTGGTGAGTACATGTGGCATGTGTGATATCCCCTAGGGCTTTGATTTGGCCTCTCAGATGGCATAATTCTCCAGCTTTTGTGTAGAATTCCTCAGTCAAATTTTGGTGGTTTGAGGTACATATAACAGTTTATTTCCTGTCACATTTACTGACAATTTTTCTCAATTATTTCCCAATGTAAATTGGATCTGTACTTTTGGAAACTGATACCCCATTTACACCAGAAAACTTGTTTAGTTGAACCAGGTTTAACTGAATGAAAATCAGAAACAGAGAAGCGAGAAACTCAATTTTCCACAAGATTTAAGCAATTGCTAAATTGTATTTTCAGTGCTACATTTAAAGTCAAGATGAAATAAACAATTTTAAATATGAGAAAAATCGATTTTCCAGATGGGAAACTTCCCATCTGGAAACTCGATTTTTCTCTTACATTTAAAGTCAACCTAATATTGGTGTAAGCAGTTTCTATGAAGAAAAAAAATTCAACCATGTTTAACAAAACAGCTTTTGAGCGTGTTGAGGCTTTGGTGTGAGTGGGATTCATGTATTAGTACATACTGTATAGTGAAGTGAAACAAAGAAGAAAAAATAAAACTCAACTTTGTTAAAAAAAAAAAACAGCTTTAAAGTGTGTTGAGGCTTTGGTGTGAATGGGGTACATGTATTGGTACCTACTATATAGTAAAGTGAAACAAATTTTTATTGGTCCAAATGTATCCTTTGGTGTATGGAAGACATCATCCAAATGAAATTATGTTAACATTAAGAACACAGTGGATCTATAGTGTAAGGGAACAACAGTACATGTCAAAATAATGATAACACTTTTTGTTATGTTTTTTCTTTTCATACCTTAATTAAATAAAAGTTACAGATAGCTAATGCTATTATGAATAGGCCAGTTTTCAAATTCTAATAGGGTAAAATAAAGAGAATCCTTAGTTAGAGTACATCACAGTAATTTTTTCTAGTTACATTATAAAATCATGATTATAATTGTAAATATTATTTTTGAAAGAAGGAGAGTGGCTATAAAAGAGAGATTTACATGTAGATATAGAGAAGGCTACAGTATTATAGCTAATAGAATTTGCCTAGGGAAAGATTTGACATACAGCTGTATGTCAATTGAAAATGCAAAAGGCACCAATAGAAGCTGACCATCTTGCTGTACAAAATTACTAGTGATATGTAATTATTCAACCTTATCACCTAGCAAAGAATTTAGGATTAAAGGCTGTTGAAATGTCACCAAACCTCAAGCCATACTTCACTCTACAATCAGTAGGGACACTAAAGGGCAAGACCAAGACCAATAAACTAACTTTCTTTAATAAGCATAGACACAATAGATAACAAGATCTTCTGCAATGCCCCATTTAAAATTTGTCGTTTGGATTGTCTTCAGGTATGCTACAGGCTCAGATGTCACAGTGCATTCTTTGCTTATTCATGAATACTATTCACGAGAGGCAAACATTCCAGTGCATGTTACGGTGGACACCACTTTGAAAGGTTCTCGCATGGGAATAAGAGCTTATCAGAGGTAAATACCACCCACGCCAGGTCTGTCAAGTTTGGTATCTCATTGTCTTGGGAAATTGCTTCTGGTGACTCTACATGTAGATGTGTCAAGACTTGTGCAGAGTGTGAAACTGATCTTGGAAAACAGGCTAGAAATACTATGTATTATTACCCAAATGTGCTTTGTAGAGGACAAATAATGTCTGAGACGAGTACAAATATCACGTGGTATTTGTACTCCAGGAATATGCATGAAATTCGCATGCACTGAAATACCAATTTCACGTGCTGGATAATGAATCTCTTATTAAACATTTTGTTGCGTAGTATCACTGAGTATTTTTGCTCGTTGTTTGTATTTTGACTCACCCTACGGGCTGGTAAAAATACTCAGCAATACTACACAACAAAATGTCTAATAAGAAATGTAATCTCTAGAGGCTTGTTTCAAATGTTTAAAATGTTCAAAATAGACATACTTTTAGGTTGGGATGGTACATTTTTTTTTCTTTTTATTCTCTATGATGAGCAATGAATTATTTGGCAAAATACTCTCTAGCTATTGTTATATTCCTGTTTAGTTTTTTTTTTTTTTTGTGCCTCCTCCCTAACCTTGGATAATGATTAATGTACAAATGGTTTGTTGTACCTGCACTTAATACTTTAAGTGCAGTGTTGGTGCTTTTTAGGATAACTTTCATCAGTTAAACTTTCTGGCTAGACCAGTATATTATTTTTAAAGAGAATAAATATGGAGCTTGCTCTGTGCACAGGCATGTAACTCATGCAGATTTTAGAGTGGCTTGTCAGAGATTATTGTGATCCATTATGCTTACAATCTCAAATGAGTTTACATTTATAATGATACAAAACTTTCAAAGTAAAACTTGTGTTCTAAAATCATGAAGTGCAATTGCATTCATACAATTTCCTACATTACTTTCACTTTTATCTTGTGGATGACAATGGTGAAAACATCACAAAGACAATACTTTTTAGCCAAGAATGTTGTGCAGGGACACACAGCAATGCTCCTGGTGAAACTGCTTTACTGTCTAGGTTTGCCTATACTA